GTTTGATACTTTGCAAATGCTTTAATTATGTTTTAATTTGACAAAAGTGCAATAAAATTCATCAAATATACTTTACTCTTATGCCTACCACCTTACACCTCCCGAAAAAAAGAAGTTCTAAAAATCAACTCCTTTTTTCTAATAAAGTATTATTTTTGCTACTGCAATATTTTCTGTGTAATACAAATAAAGACAATTGCTATGTCATTTTTTATGTATATGATTTTAATTCAGATAAGACATTCCCTACCACCACCGACCACCCCCTTCCCAACTTTAAACAATTATACACAGTTGAATTAAAACGAACTAGTTGGTCTCGAAATCCAGACACTGTTTCGTTATACAGTACAGTATACATGGGAATTCGTTGGAAAAGCTATAAAATTGAGTTTTTAAAATAAGTTTCATGTATATATACTAATATTTTGCGAATCTTGGAATTTTTAAGCAATTTTAGGATTTTTTAGACTGAATCTTGGGAATTTTTATTTTTCCCAGTGGTCACACTGCACTGAGTCAGCATGCGGATTCGCGTAGTCTAACGCTCGCTGCGTCGTACGACGCAGTGAGTACCCGGCTTTACGTATAGGCCTACGACAGCTTAATATATACCGACGTTTAGGCTTACAAAATCTGGAGGCTTCGGTGCAGCGCCTATTCAAGGTATGCGCTCTAATGTGCATGTTATAAAGGTATTTAGACAGATATTTTGCAAGTGTTATGGTAACATGTGCACATATATGACGTAGGACTATAGTCTTTCTTTTTAGCGCCACTATGCATCGACAGCGGCTTAATATAGCAAACAAACAAAAAAAAAAAAACACGTTCAGTGTGGTGCTAATTTTAGAGCGGTGCTTATTTTAGAGTTTTTAAATTATCTGCCTAACTAGCTACTTAATATAATGACTTCAAAAACATGATACAAGATTATGTTATCAAAATACTAACCAATGTAATGAGCAGCAAGAATCGGATATCACAACCTCCCATAATCACTTAGGCAGTGGCTGATGGCGAATGAACAAATAACTGCATTCAACAGGTTTCTTTGATTAACAGAAAATAAACCATTTATGCAAGTCGGTATTATTTTTCCAACAGTCAGCCTATATTGTAAGCGATGATTGCATCCCAAATAATAGCAAAATAGTATAAAAGTTTTAATTTTAAAATAAAGTTTGTAAAGAACTATATTTAATGAAATACATTACTAAATAAATAATTGATATGTAACTATTTTAGAACACATCCGCAGTTAAAAATAGTTTCTCCCTTGAAAATATGCAAATGTATTAACTTATGCAAATACGGAACACCTCTTGAAATTATTTCCTCCGCCAAAGTGGTTATGTTTTCGCCCCTGTTTATTACCTCCGCCAACGAAGTTCGCCCCTGTTTATTACCTCCACCTTCGAAGTTGGAGGAGGTACTGACGCTCCTGTTTATTTATTTTTCTGTCTGTGTTGTTTTGTGTGGGTGTGTCTGTGAACAGCCTACAGTCCACCATTTTTATCGGAAAATTCTCAAAATTGGACCGGGCCTTCTCAAACTTGGACCGGGCCTTTGACACAATGTTCCTTGACCAAAGATCTTGAGGTGATTAAATTTTGAAGGGCCATTTTTAACTGCCTGACGTAGGCCTATAGACATATGTTTGTGTGCTTACGGGGTTTGCCAAAGAAATGTAACAAAGTAGCATTCATTTTTTAGTGATTCACGTGAAAACCGGGTTGGGTGTAGTGGTTAGAATAGTGTTTTCTAAATTACTGATCTCGGGTTCGAACACATCATGTCTATTTTTTTTTTTTTCTTTTCATTATCTTTTATTTCATTGTCCGTAATACTAAGCATAACATCTTGGGATTCAATTTTAGAGTCTACTAATATTTAGAAAATACATATAATTTTTTTTCTCCCCCAACGAATTATGGTTTTTCTCCCCCGACGAAGGGGGGCGGGGGGGGGGTGTCACATACATGACCAAGTTAGCTACAACCTGACAGACCGGGACCCCGGATCCGACAGACCAGTGCTGACGATAGGAGGCGTCACACTCGTGACGTTTCACAAACAACGAAACGTCCAGCTCATTAGCCTGACGAAGTCTTGTTGACAACAAGACGAAAGCTACCGTAAATATATAAAAAAAATTGTTTAACTATTTAAAAATAATTGGATTATACCAGCTGGCTAGGGGTTGGGGTCCAAGCGACAGGGAAACCACCCCAACCCCAACCCCACCCTCCGCCGCTCCGACGATCTGAGCATTTTTAAGCTGTTTTAAAACGATTTCAGGGAGTGTTTGTTGATAATACAGGTACATAAGCAAAAATATTATAAATAAAGCCAAAGTTTCAATGTAAGCCTGTGTTTAATTTGAACATCTGAACTATGTAGACCTACACAAACATTTCAGTACTGATCAATTTTTAATAACTCGTTAGTGAAATAAGTACGGCCTTCAAGGAAATACTGTACTCTCTCATGGATCAAGTTACTGCATCACCGTTTTTATATTTTTAATACAACCAATTTTTATATACATTTAAATACATTTTCCCCTAAATGTGTGATAAATCGTTATTACGCATAGGCTTGTGTTAAATGCGTGACAAATTTAGGATCACATGTGTTTCTGCAAAATGCGTGTTTCATTTATTTTAACCTCTAATATTGACATTTTTCACAATAGTTTGTCTATATTTCGTTCTATTATTATTAATCATTTGAATAGGTGAGATTTTTGTACTCTTTCGTCTATATATTTGATATACTGTATTTAAATTTTATATATTTTACCAGCCTGTTAGTGGCGATGATTCGCTGTTGGTTTGATGAAATGAAATAAATAAATAAATAAATAAAATCACATTGAGATGCGGGACCGTCCCGCACGATGCGAGACGGTTGGTAACTATAAATTCAATAAATATCGAATGTGCTTTTTTTTTGTTATAAGTAGAAATTATTAGGCCTATTATTAAGGTCAGTCAGCCAATAGCTGACTTTTCAAAGATGCCCTCTGAAACCATCTAAAAATTTAAAAAATCGCTCCTAAACTAAACTATCAGTGGTACACATGCTAGTTGACAGGGTCAGTCAGTTTGCATGCTTCAAGGACTCCGACTGTACTCTTGAACCAGGGCCCCTCACAACCTAGATACGTCCCTATTGGTTTACTTATTTATTGTTAATATTACTGAGCATAAAAGGGCCTATACCTTCTGCATGTTTATCTTAACAGGGGAGTAGGCTGGGGGTGAGAGATTCGGCCGCATCCCCACCCCCCCCCCCTTCAAAAAAGAAAAAAAACAAAACAAAACAAAAACAATAAACTAAATGGCAAACAATTTCCGCTGGTGTAGGCCTAGGCCAAGGTCTGGTACTACAATGGAAAATTGATGCAGGGTCAACAAAATACACATAAAACATATGATACGCCTAGTCATAAAAAAACAACTCATTTTTATCCCAAAAATGTGAATAAACAATACAATAATTCGAAATAAAAACAGTGTATTCTGTTGAATGTGCCCTGTACTCGTACGACCGTGTTTCTTTCCACTTGGCGAATTCGTTCAAAACGCGATTTTTTTTTTATTGCACGCATTGGCAGTTCAATAATTAACTACGAAGTTTTTTACTACGCATGCTTATGCTATGATATGAGCCAAAATTTATGATTCGCACTATTGGGCTGACTGCATAAAACTTTATGTCAGTTGATTGCGACATTAAAACGGCCTCTGGTATCTACGCAGGAGAAAAATGCAGGGGTCCCATGTTGGGAGAACCCATTTCCGGGAGATTCGTTTAATAACATTAGGGGCGCTATATTCTATGAGGAAAAAGTGTACCAAACGAATGGCCACGCCCACCTCAGGCCCACCATGATTGGGGCTGAGGTGATCATCAGATTTTTTAGGGAAAAAAAGCCCGGAAATGGCACTGTCAGACTGCAAAAAATAATCGGTAACCAAAGTTTAGGCCTAAATAAAACAAAAAGTTTTGTTTTTTACTGTAATTGTGGGAAAAAGTGAATTTCCGGGAGATTTTTGACCATATACCGATTTCCGGGAGAATCACGAGAGATTTGAGACCCCTGAAAATAATAAACACTAGAAAAATTATCACGCTCTTATTATTCTTTTGAAACTTTGACGAAAAACTTGGTTAATGAGAAAAAAAAGCGCTTAATGAGATATTTTGAATATTTAAAATCTTGGGGGAAATATATACAGTAGATAGGCCTAGTTGGAATTATCAAATTTCATTGACGTTTGCCTCAAACTTTATCCGAGCAAAAAATTTAATCGTAACAGCATTCTTTCGTACAGTACACAGGCCTAAGTATACTGGGGAACGTAAAGTCGAAGCAACGGCCATATGTGAATTAATGGGTGTTAAATGTTATCATGATCTTAAAAATATATCAAATGGTGCCGACATTATTATTTTTTAACAACTTTTATAAATTCTGTGTAATCTATTCAATAATACTAATAACACATCCAACAGTAATAATTAGAAAAAGTACAATTTTTTTTCTTTTGATTGAACGTTTTAAACTTAATTAAGTAATGTGTTTTATATAATATAATAAAAAATGAGACAATGTGTAACAAGAAATTAAGTTGCAGGCGAACGAAGTGTTATCTTTAATTACAATATAATTATACGCTTATTTTGTCAAATCACGATACAGAATTAAGCCTCTCAATTGTGCCAAAAAAGACATCAGAATACATCACAAAACGCTACAAACACCTGAGCAGCGGGGGGGGGGGGCGGAAGTACACCCCGAACCCTCACCGGGGTCCCTTCGTGGCCCCATCCCCAGCTCCATGCTCGGAAATCCGGCCCCTTGTTACGCCACTGATCTTTTCTAGTTCTGCATTTACAATTTTCGCATCCCCCTCCCCCAGGTGGGACACCCTACTCCCTGTTTAAAACATGCCCTACACATTTACAAAATACCAAAATATTTATTGCTTTGAACATCAAAATCTCACGGAATTTAGGCCTACTTGGAACCTAACTAAACAAAGCTACGAAGACATGAAGAAAAAAAAATATCACGTACGTGCATCACGTAGGTATGTGATAATTATCACGTACGTACGTATTAGTAATACGTACGTACGTGATAGTAATACGTACGTACGTGATAGTAATACGTACGTACGTGATAGTAATACGTACGTACGTGATAGTCATGCGTACGTACGTGATAGTAATACGTACGGGACGTGATAGTAATACGTACGTACGTATTAATAATACGTACGTACGTGATAGTATTACGTACGTACGTGATATTTATACGACGTACGTGATAGTAATATAATGCGTACGGTACGTAGGCCTACGTGATTGTAACACGTAAGTACGTGGTATTATAGCGTACGTACGTGATAATAATACGTTCGTACTTGATAGTAAGTAGCCGTGTGGCGCAGTAGGTGAGAACGGGTCCCAATGCAAGATTGATTGCTGGGCCCATGATGTGAAACGTCAAACTCGAGTGGCGTACGCCTGAGTTATGGCTAGTATAGAGAGGGGTTAAGAAAGCTGTCAAATTTCCCAATGTGCGGTAGGAAAATCCTCGAAAGCTTTAGTTAGGCATACCGATTCACGTTTTGATAAAAGTTATTGTAAGAAATTCTTCACATCTCTAATCTCCCCCTTCCCCACCCGCCCCATACCACTAAGGGTCTGTAGTTAATCAAATGATAATAGGCAAGGGCGTCGATCCGTGGTTGAAAGCGGCGGGGGGGGGGGGTGGGGGTGGCGAATTGCAAAATAAGAAAGCCTTAGGGCTGCAGGAAAAGCCTCCGGGATCTCTGGCAACTCTAGACAGTTATAAGGCCTATGTAATTGATTTTAAGGAATGCAAATAACATTTATTCCCACACCACATTTCCAAAATAGGCTTACAGTGGCGGATCCAGGATTAGAGGGGGAAACAGGATGGTACCTTTACAGATAGAGTGACCATCAACCATTGTTGGGCTGAGGTACGAACATTTACGATTATGTCAGCTCTAGTTGGCCGGAAATGGCACTCTCATATTTAAATTTGAATAATAATAATAATAATAATAATAATAATAATAATAATAATAATAATAATTATTATTATTATTATTATTATTATTATTATTATTATTACTATCATTATCATTATCATAATCAATATGTTATAAAAACTGTATTATTTTAATAATTGATAATAATATTAATTCTGGAGACTTCTATAGAGCCCTGTTGCCACCCATTTGGAAATGAACGAAGAAAAAAGTATCAGAAAACCAAAAAAAGTTAGGCAGTGGATGACTATTAACCCCCGGCTGTCCATTTATGAAAAATTATTATTATCACATGATGAGATAATCAGTAGGCCTACTCGTCAATGACGGTCAATTAATTCCAACAGAAAAACAGCTACTCTAGTAGGCCTATCAGTAACAGTATTTAGATTTTATTACTGTTTTGTGATCATTAAATATCTTTCATTATTGTGTTTAGTAATCTTTTTTGAACATACACACACACACACATATCCACCCCCCGCACACACACACACACACATATATATATATATA